TGTAACGACACGGATTCGTCGTTTTAATTCTGCTGAGGTATTACTCAGTCGCGGTCCGGGTCGTTGCAATAAATTTGTTTATTGACTAGTTCGAAGCTGGTAAACCAATGAGTGGAAAGTAAAAGACCGTTTGTTTTTATTATTTTAAAATGTTATTTATTAAAAAAAAGATTATTTTAAATAACTTATTCTAGTCTTGATTCTACTCAGTAAGTTTTATCCAAAGACGTCAGAACATCAAAGGGTTTTTTCCAAATCTACGTAATTAGTTTCTAGCCAAAGACGTCAAAACATCAAAGGCGTTTATAAAGTCTATTCAATAATTTTTACCCAAAGACGTCAGAACATCAAAGGGTTTTTTTCCAAATCTACGTAATTAGTTTCTAGCCAAAGACGTCAAAACATCAAAGGCGTTATACAATCTACTCACAAGTTTCTACGAATTTATTTAGCCTTAGCGTCGAAACACTATAGGCTTCTAAAAGTGGACTTAGCGCTGGAGTAGTGATCTAATCACTTCGGTGTGCCGGTGCTAAGTGATCTTTCATATAAAATCTCCGCTATTTATATACGACACTTTGCTTTGCTTAATTGCACGCACAACCGCACAAGTATAATTCGCTGTCAGCTTTGTTATGCTTGTCGTGTGTGCGTATGTTCGCGGTTGGCTTTGTTTTGCTTGTCGTGTGTGCGTGTGTTCGCGGTTGGCTTTGTTTTGCTTGTCGTGTGTGCGTGTGTTCGCGGTTGGCTTTGTTTTGCGTGTCGTTTGTGCGTATGTTCGCGGTTGGCTTTGTTTATTTGTTTCAAATATATAAATCGAGTTTTATCCAGATGATTTTTAGTAAAAAATAATAAGTTTTATGTAGGGCGGAATTTGTACAAAATTCCGTCCTTACAATACTTTATGGGGTCTTCGTTATAACCTTCAATTATAATATAAAAATGTTGCCAAAACTAATATTTTATTCAATTTATTGTGTATATGGTATAAACACTTATCACGGTATTATTGCAAGAACTATGTAGTAATGTTATTCCGTACTCGTACATAATGTGATGTTGTTCATAGTTAACCATTTAATAATGTGTACCTCATACTTCAATAATCAATTTCATTGATGGTCTCACTGAAGAAAAGCATGTGAAGTATACAATAAGTACAATAAGAAATGCTTTTCTCTGAAACGCTAAAGTATCGCAAATGTCTAGAACCAAATTTGGTAAACATGGCGCCGTTTAATAATATTGCCGCACCTCCATTTTCATTAGAGCTGATACGATTATGACAGACAGCATCATTTCGTGCTCGTGCTACATTCAATTGAATTCATTACTTGTCACAAATGGAAAAGATTCTGCACGCACTTTTTTGGGAAACAGAATGCGGCATATCAAACAACGGTAACATTTTGTTGGAACACTGGCACGAGCCTTTTGCGGCAAGATTTGCGGCCGGTGTTGAGGCTGAGGCCGGCGCTGTGCTCGCTGTTAATGGAGTCTATTCGCTTTTCAATCACGTTCCAATTATAATTTATTTCTTGGTACTTGCACAACTCATAAATGAATTCTTTATTCAATTAAATAAATGTTTAGATGGTTTGTGCGTACATGAAACTACTCAAGTACAATTTAGCTATTGAATCTAAATAAATTTTTCCAGGAACATTTCCTAGTTAGTTTATTCTTCTCCACCTATTCTATTTAATGATTTAACTTTTTTCCTTAACAAAAGAATCTTGAATTCAGCAGTTGATGTAGTTGGTGAAATAAACATTTTCTATTACTCTCTGGGGTACTACAATACTCAATGAGCTTTGACATAATTCCTTAAGGAATTTAAGTTGTACAATAATTCCTGAAAGTGGGAAAAAGTTTGATGTGAGTTATACTGTAATATATATATCATGTATATATATTATATATTATTATATACTTTATGTTGTTATTATTATATATTATATTAAAATTTATTTTAACCGAGCTTAAGGTCGGTTTTTGTCAACACACAAACCTCCTGAGCATCTTAGGACCCCTTCACTGTTGACAATATAAATTCGAAGTTGTGAAACACTTTGTTTATTTAGGAACCAGCTTAAACACCAAAAATAACGTCAGCCTAGAGATTCAACGAAGAATCACTATTGTCCTCAAATGTTACTTCGGGTTAAGTATGCAATTGACAAATAAAGCACTCTCTCGACAAACAGAAATCATGCTCTACAAATCTCTTATCATGCCTGTTCTGCTGTAGGTGTGATGCAGAAGCTTGGACAATTACCAACAGTGATGAGAAGGTGTTAGGAGCATTCGAGAGAAAAATTTTTCGGAAAATCCATGGTCCCTTACGTGTTGGCGACGAGTATCGAATTAGATGGAACTATGAGCTGTATGAGCTATACTGCGACATTGGCATAGATAGTTAAGCGCATAAAAATTCAGCGGCTTCGCTGACTTGGTCATGTGGTGCGAATGAAAGAAAGTGCTCCAGCTAGAAAGGTGCTTAATTTGGTACCCGCAGGTGGAAAACGTAGTAGAGTACATCCGCATCTTCGGCGGAAGGACCAGGTGATCAATGATTTGGAGGCGCACAGTACTATCAACTGGCGACCGCAAGCAACTGTTCGGGCTAATTGCGGAGGCTACTCGACACGGCCTAGGACGACTCACGTCTGTAAAGGGCAACTAAGTATGTAAGTAAGTAAGTACGGTCGGTTATTTAACACTTTATTTTTGTATAAAAAATATTTTTAAAAGCAAATTAAAAATGTAAACAAAAAGTAGTAAATGTTACCTATTAACAATTTAAGTGTTAAATAACTGCCCTAGAGCTCGGCTAAATTAAAATATTAGATAATATTTTAAAATAAATTTAGGTAGGTTATCTAAGTTAAGAATACTTTATAGTTTATAATAATAAGATCAGGTGTTGTGAAGTTTGGAATATACCTGAGTTACTGATCCCAACTTCTGTAAACCAGATAAGTCCTGAAAATCTACTCATCTTAAGTGTGTTAAAATACGACTAATCGGTATTGAAACAAGAAAGTATAATTTTGGATATTTGTTCCAGTTTTCAGTACGTAAAATTTAAATATTTAAACTTTTATTTATTAAGCTATTAAAAAGATAAGTTATTAAAACTGTCTTTTTAATATTTATTTTGTATAACGAATGAAATAATAAAATTTAATTGCACTTTGCAGATCATGCATACGTCTTTAGTATGTCAGACTACAATTCATTTCTACTAATACATACTTACATATATACACTATGTATTCGTAATATAAATGAATAGCATTACTGCATACTATATGCATAGGTTTTTCAGTTTTAGTACTGTTCGATGTTTTCATTGATTTCT